CTATCAATGAAACAGTCAATGGAAGCTTAAGCATTAGCTGTCAAAATAGTGAAATACAACATCTGTATTCACTAGAACTTTGTGTGGAAGCATTTGCAGCATGGAAGGGAAGGCACCATGAGCATGCCTACAGAGGAGCTGATATAATGAGCCTCTAGTGTCCACTAAACATAGAAATTTGGGCGTTTTTCAGCTAAACATAGAAACAGTAAAACAGAACTAAGCATCCACCAACAATCCATCACCATTGTTCTGCCCAAATAACATATCCATCTCTTCCTAGTTCCTACTTCACCGTGCAACATAAAGCTATATCCATCATAATAAAAACAAACACCATCATCATGAGTGTACAATGTTATCTCCATTGTTGAATCTTGCATGAGACCTGCAACAATGGAGTCTAGGCAAAACGATAAAGAAGAAAGTAATCTTGAAGAGGAAGAAATCTTATCTTGAAGAATCAGAGAAATGTTATTCATTGATCGTCGTATTACAAATGATGAGTTATCTATTATATATACAGGAGCACTTCCAACTAACTCTAACTAAATTTGTTATATACAGCCTGTCAATATTATTACTTAATAGCTAAAGAAATATAATTAGTTAGCGTATTAAGTTATCTCAATATCCCCCCCTCAAGCTGGATTCAGGGTGGGAAATACTGAAGCCCAAGCTTGGAAGAAAGGATTTTATGTTGTTGAGCTCCCAGTGGTTTGGTCATGATGTCTGCAATCTGCATATGAGAAGATATATGTTGAGTTGTAAGAAAACCTTCCAGCAACTTATCTCGTACATAATGACAATCAATCTTCAAATGCTTGGTTTTATCATGGAACACAGGATTTGCTGCAATGTATTGAGCTGCTTTATTATCACAATGAAGTGGAATAGGTAATGGTATATGAATCATGAGATCTTTAAGAAGCTCATGTAACCAAACCATTTCACTAGCTGTATAAGACATACTTCTGTATTCAGACTGTGCAGTACTCTTGCTGACTGTTTTCTGCTTCTTTGTTTTCCAAGAAACTAAAGAATCTCCTAGGAAAATGCAATAACCACTAAGAGATCTACATGAGAATTGACATTGCCCCCAATCAGCATCTATAAATGCTGTTAATTTCATTGTAGAAGCAGCGGGATAGAACAATCCAACATTGATTGTGCCTTTTAGATATTTCACAACATGAAGAGCAGCTTGAAAATGTGGTAATCTAGGTTGAGAAAGGAATTGACTAAGATGTTGGACTGAATATGAAATATCAGGTCTTGTGACATTAAGGTAGAGTAATCTGCCAATGATTCTTCTAAAAACTTCAGGCAGTTCCGACAAATCACCTTGATCAATGCTCAATTTCAAACCTCTAGGTAAAGGGAATTCAGTTTCATGGCAATTTCCCATTTTCAGATCTTTGCGAATATCAACTATGTATTTCCTCTGATTCAATAGAATACCGGTTTGGTTTCTAGCAATTTCAATTCCCAAAAAATATCTAGCTTCACCAAGATCTTTAATAGTAAATGTATTATCTAGTCCTTGCTTTAGTTCTTGAATCTCTTAAGGACAATTTCCAGTAATTAGAAGATCATCAACATAGATCAAAATAATCAAGAATGTATGAGACTGATCTTTGTATCTAGTGAATAGAGAATAATCCTGTTTGGACTGAACAAAATCAAGGCTCTTAAGATACTTGGTGATTTCAACATTCCATTGTCTTGAGGCTTGTTTAAGACCATATAATGATCTTTTTAGTTTGCAAACTTGACCAGAATCAGCTTGTGTATATCCTTGAGGGGGCTTCATATATACTTCTTCTTCTATAAAACCATGTAAGAAAGCATTGTTAATATCCAACTGGTGTAATGATCAGTGTTTAGATGCTGCCAATGCTATTAAAGTCCTGACAGTGGTGAACTTAGCAACTGGTGAAAAAGTGTGCTTGTAATCCTTGTCTTTGACCTGTCTAAAACCTTTAGCAACTAGCCTGGCTTTAAATCTTTCAACTGAGCCATCTCGTTTGAATTTAATCTTGTAAACCCATTTAGAGTCAATAGTCCTTTTCCCTGGAGGTAAAGAAGTAAGTTCCCAGGTACCATTATCTTCTAGAGCTTGTAACTCCTTTTTCATTGCTAGATTCCATCTTTCATCAGTAGCTGCTTGTTGATAAGAATGAGGTTCAAACTCAGTTATCACATTTGCTAAGGAAGAAACATATTCTGAATCAAAATCCTTTAATTCTTGAATAAGTTGGACATGAAAAGATGAAGATGTTGCAGAATGTTGAACTGGTAGTTTCATGGGACAATGATAATCTTGAAGTTTTACTGATAGATGTTTTTGTCTGGTGGATTTTCTGAGGGTAGTGTCAGGTTGGACAGAATCATTTGTGGATTCTGACATTCCATGGATTGAGACACCTTGAAGTCCTGTGAGAGAACCAGTAGGATGTGTATTAGAGTGAACAATCTGTTGAGAAGATACAGGATCAACCATGTGATCTGTAGATGTGTCATTCAGACTGGATGATGTAGTTTTAAATGGAAATATTTCTTCTTTGAATACAACATCTCTGCTGACCAGAACTTGATGAGAATCTAGGTCATAAAGCTTGTATCCTTTTTGACCATATGGATAACCAATGAAAATGCACTTTCTTGCTTTTGCAGAAAACTTGTCTGTGTGAGTAATTGGCAAACTGGCATAACATAATGTGCCAAATATTCTGAGCTCATCATATGTAGGTTTCTCTTTGAATAATATCTCAAATGGAGTTTTCCAGTCTAGCACAGTAGATGGCATTTTATTGATCAGGTAGGTGGCAGTTAGGATACAATCTCCCCAAAATTTTGCTGAGACCCCAGAATGAACTTTTAGTGCCCTGGCTGTTTCAACTAGATGTTTGTGTTTTCTCTCCACTCTGCCATTCTGTTGGGGCCTTCCTACTACACTTCTTTGATGAACAATGCCTTTTGCTTTAAAAAATTCAGAACATTGTTGTTGAAAGAATTCTGTCCCATTATCTGTTCTTATGGATTTGATAGTAGTTGAAAACTGATTTTCAACATACGCAGTAAAATCTCTAATCAAAGAAGGCACTTGTTGTTTGTTCTGAATTAAGAAAGTCCAGGTGCATCTAGAATGATCATCCAAAACTGTGAGGAAGTATTTGGCTCCATTTATGGCAGAAACTTTGTAAGGACCCCATAGATCCATATGTACAAGATGAAAAATACACGGAGCATGAGAAATACTTTTATTGAATGGTAACATGTGATGTTTAGCAAGCATACATGTTTCACAAAAGAACTTCTTTATTCCAGGAGAACTTGTTCCCAGAACATGTCTCAATTTGTCACTAGAGGTATGGCCTAGTCTAGCATGTAACAAGCTAACTTCCTTTGAGTAATTACAAGAATTATTGGAAACAGTAGAAATGTTACTACATTTATTGATATCTAAACACATGCTATGAGTAGGTATCCTGTGAGATATAGAACCAAAGCTAACAAACTGTCTGAGCCAATAAAGATCACCAGATCTCCGAGCTGTAGCTAACACTCCATTATTTGAACGGTCCTGGAAAATACATTCAGTAGATGTTCAATCGAGTTCTTCAACCAGCTTGTAACAATGATGTCACATTTGATCCACTGATGATATGTTTTGTCCTTTTTGTCAGGTCTCGCAACAGTTCCATCAACAAAGCCATCTTTGTTTTTTGATATTAGCGCGAGATAGGCTTCGCGTTTCCAGTAGATGTAATTTTGATCTGTCAACTTCGTACTGATCAAGAGCAAATTAGGTTGATCTGATGGAGAAAGATAAAGCGGATCATTCAGGAATTCATAATTCTGTGAATTTTGATCTGAAGTAGGCATGATGAATTGGAGAATGGAGAAGAAGAGTATGCGGAAGCTTATGGAAATCGTCAGGATCTTAGACCTTACGCGACTGATACCATGTACAATGTTATCTCCATTGTTGAATCTTGCACGAGACCTGCAACAATGGAGGTCTAGGCAAAACGATAAAGAAGAAAGTAATCTTGAAGAGGAAGAAATCTTATCTTGAAGAATCAGAGAAATGTTATTCATTGATCGTCGTATTACAAATGATGAGTTATCTATTATATATACATGAGCACTTCCAACTAACTCTAACTAAATTGGTTATATACAGCCTGTCAATATTATTACTTAATAGCTAAAGAAATATAATTAGTTAGCGTATTAAGTTATCTCAATAATGAGATTACCAAAATTAGGGAAATTAAACATAGAGTCAAAGAGAGCTGGGTACGATTAAACTAGATTTGGAAGAGAAGTGATGGCAAATGCGACGAAGGTTAACTTTGTTCTACATCTGAAAGCTCTCACCTGGACGCCGGAGGAAGATTGACTATCCAATCGGCAACGGAAACACATGGAGGCATCCACTCTTTCTTCCCGTCTTGAAGGCCATCATATTGTTCGATTGGCGATTAGAGACGAGAAACTCTGATCTCCAGACCTTTCGTTAGCTCCCTTGTGCCTCTCACATACGACGTATTACTGCTGCGGAGGAGATCGGCAAAACATATCTATAAGTGAAATAAAAAATGTAAATTGAAAACTGAAAAGTTAAAAGTGAAAAGAAAAAACAAGAGAGACATAAATGATATGGTATGTATAAAAGTAGACCACACGGGTAATTTCCTCAAGGTAGTTCGGTAAGCCTCGTAATCTAGTACTCCCTCCGTCTCCCTGTTATTGTCCCATTGCGGTTTACGATGCTTGACCGACGATAAAGAAAACAGATCCCTGTCCGCACTCAAATTATTTTTAGAAAAAGAAAATTACATTTTCAGAAACTACATTAAAAGATTTACAAAGTCGCAAAAACCAGAATCAAATTTGATAAAAATTTGATGCATAAAATAAGAGATTAAGAGTGATTTATGTTGATAAGTGAATAGAAAATGGAACGGGCACTCGTGGAGTACCGAGTATGACACAAGCTTTAGCCCTGTCCTATCATCTGGGTTAGTCATTTATCGACGGATTGATCTTTCGAATAAAAAGATTGAAACAAAATTCCAATGGTTGCAATGCGAAGATGGCAACACAGCTAGGACTGCTGATGCTTTAGTCGGCTTCCACCGGACGACCAAAATATTCGAGCGACGTCGTCAGTTCGGACAACCTCTTCCCCCCTCTCCTATCTGCAATCAAGGGGGGAATTCACTTTCGCGCACAATTCTGCTCGAAATGCTGAGGTCTGAGCTTTGTTTTCGTTTTCTATTCCTTCTTCATGATTAATCGATGAGCTCGGCCCTGCTGGCTCTCATAGTCCGTAGTCCGTAATATTATTATTTTCAGCATCACTTTGAAATCATGCCTTAGATGATTCAAAACGAAACTCACATAGATTTCTTTATTTCAACAAATTATGCTGCCATTTTTGAAAAAATAGGGGACATAGTTCGCTAATAAGCTGAGATAATGTAACCCGTGTTTGGTGAATTTCTGATATATAAAGTCTGTTGACATGACTTGTAGCTGTTTTGGTGGATCAAGAAGGCGCCGTAGGAATAGTTTGGCTCATCTAGAAGCTCGAGATGCTGGAGGTTTGTGATTAAATCCTCAGAAGGTTCATTAGTTATCTCCATAATTACATTCCAGAAGTTTCAGGAATACATATTAACTAATCAAGTTGTAATGAGTATTTCAACGTCTAATGTGTTATTATCTCATATCTACCTACACATACATATCCCTTCCCAGATAGTTCAAGTGCAACCACAAAAAGTTTCACATACTCGGAGTTGAAAGAAGCAACAAACAACTTCTGTCAAGTTAGTAAGATAGGAAGAGGAGGTTTTGGTATTGTTTACAAGGTATAGTACTACTTTGTGTTGTGCGTACTCTGTTTTTAACCTAATTAGTCCCACAGCGGAAAATTGCTAGACTCCATAATTTGCACTCTAGAAGTAACTCACTATAACTAATACCACTTCTCTCCCCCAAAAAGATTTATTTCAACCTATATACAACTTTTAAGATTGCTAAAGTGCAACTGACTTAAATGTACTTATATTATTTAAATGTTGGTGTGACTAAATTTATCACATGTTACCTCTCTTTGCTCTTTTTGATAAGTTGCATACACAATTAGCTTGGTTTGATTAAATTAGTCTCTTTTTCTTTTGAGAAGGAGGAAGTAGTGTTGTTTGTCTTATATGAGATGTTTTATACATCTGGCTTGAATGAAAGACCAGGACTCGTTGAATGTGCTTTTATAGGGAACTCTACGGAATGGCTTACAAGTGGCAGTAAAAGCACTTGCTGCGGAATCAAAACAAGGGGTCCGCGAGTTTTGCACAGAGATTGAAACTATATCAAATGTAAAACATCCAAATCTGGTCGAGTTAATTGGTTTCTGTGTTCATGGTGACAATAGGCTCCTCGTCTATGAATATTTAGAGAACAAGAGCCTTGATCGAGCATTGTTTGGTAAGTGTATAAATGATTATAATAATATCTGCAGACAATATGAATTGCCTAGGTAATTTATTAGTTTATTTTGTAGCTAGGATTGGCTTATTGTGCTTTTGACAAGAATAATCAAAATGAGTTTCTGACTTTCTTATTTGGCCCAGATGAAAGTAACCGAATGCTTTTCCTTTCTGGAATTACAGCAAAATCAACATTTAAGCAAATAATCTTTACTAATCCGCCCTTAAATACACTACGCATGTTTGTAGGTCAAAGTAGGACTGTTCACTTGAACTGGCTAACAAGAGCTGCTATATGCATGGGAACTGCCCAGGGTCTATCTTATCTTCATGAGGCTTTGGTACCACATATAGTGCACAGGGACATTAAAGCCAGCAATATATTGCTAGACAAAGCTTTTACGCCAAAGATAGGTGATTTTGGGTTGGCTAAGCTTTTCCCAGATAACATGACCCACATAAGTACCAGAATAGCAGGAACAACGTATGTCTCCCCTTCACTTAGCAGTTAAATTTTGATCATTTCCCTGCTTCAACTTGCAAATGTGATATTTCTGATTCTTGTGTTACTACTGTTGGCCAAGCTCTTGTCTGGTCAGGGATTTGGGCAAGGGGTGGTATTTATTTAAAACATAGCCTTAAATAGGTTTAAAAACGTTTGTAAATTCCAAAATAGGATTGTCATGTTTTTATTTTCTAAATTGGAGTCATTAATGCCATGTTTTGATATTACCAGACTTTAAAAATGACAATATTTTTCAAGCTTGGCAGTAATGACTGCTATTTAGGGAATAAAAACAAGACACTCTTATTTTAGAATTCCAAAACGTTTTTACTCCTATTTCGGGAAATTTCCCTATTTATTTGCGTAGTATTAATATTCTTAGATTTAATCCTTAGAGAGAAAGTAATGATGATAAATTATACAGAAAAACATGACTTATCTGAACATATATGGAGTATTTATTTTCTAGTCTAAGACTAATTAATACTAGTAGTTTTTTTGTAAAACAAAAAACAATATTCCTTCCCCTCCAAAATCTCATGACCGAACAAGCCCTAATGTCAATAAATTTCCAGATGAATGAGTTCTAAGATTTGAGTTGCATATAGTAGCATTTCCTGAAACATGTTATTCTTACATGAACCCCTTGTGTTAATTCCTAACAGTGGTTACCTGGCACCTGAATATGTGTTAGGGGGTCAGTTAACATTAAAGGCTGATGTCTACAGCTTTGGTGTCCTAATTCTGGAAGTTGTTAGTGGGAAGAGCAATTCAAGTACTAATTGGGGAGGACAACAGAAAATACTTCTTGAACAGGTGGGTAAGTAAGATCCTTTCAATTAGCAATCCAATGCTATACTGTATCACTATGCATGAGTCTAAAAGCCTTCGTTGTTCACTTTTGATTGTTAGGAGTAGTGCTGGAGCGTGAAAGATAACTTTTAGTTTTTGGCCATAATGCATGGAATTGATGCTTATGCCCTTTTCAAATGTTATCAGCTTTAATTTAAAGGGAAAAGGTGCATATAAGCCCTCGAACTAACCGAAAAAGTGCAAATCACCCCTTTTATAGAAGGCCCTGTCCGGCCGTGGCCATTTGAGGCGGTTCCCGGTGGAAGATTTTGATGATTTTTTTTGAGCATCTTCTTCATTAAGTCTAGTTTATCCATACCAAATTTCAGCTAAAACTTCAATTGGGAAGGTAGTCAAATGATTTTCGGAAATATACTGCGCTGTTTAACTGCGCAGTTATCTTCAAACATTTATTTGACTGCCTTCCCGATTGCATATTTAGCTGAAATTTGGTATGGGTAAACTAGACTTAACGAAGAAGATGCTCAAAAACATGCTCAAAAAATTCCACCGGGAACCGCCCCAAATGGCGACGGCTGGACAAAGCCTCATATAAAAGGGGTGATTTGCATTTTTTAGGTTAGTTCGAGGGCTTATTTGCCCCTTTTCCCTAATTTAAAATGGAAATTTATTATTTATTCTGTTGATAATTCAGCCAATTCATTCATTTAAAGCGGATTATTTCAGTCACTTCAACAAATTTATAGCCATTTACCCCACCCCCTACCTGTACCCCTAACCCCCACCCTAGACCTACCCCCCCACCCTAGCCCATACCCCTTCCCCTAGCCATACGCGTACCCTACCCCCACCCCTTACCCCACCAAGTTTTACCTTTGGAAATAGGTTCTTAATGCTTCAAAATGAGATTTTTGTGCACATCATTCACTAGAAGTTCTCTTGTGGCTTTGGAGTATACGAGAGCAATATACATAAAGCACATAACACACAATCTACACACAGTCCACTTTCAGAGGGGGGTCCACAAGAGTTGAGCGAACATGTAGGTTTGAAGAATTAATCTTACTTGTATTATTGAGCCATCCGACAATGATATAAATACAAAATTACAGATAAGCTAAGGTTGTTACAGATCCTAATATTTAGGATCTATCTATTCTTATCTACACTGCGTGTTAATCTAAGAGTTAGAGTTCAAAATCAACCCTACTTCCTATCTATACAGTTTCGGATGTACACATAATAAAATAACATTAATATGCTACATTTTTCTACACTCCCCCTCAAGTTGGTAAGTATATATCATACATTCCCAACTTGCTTATAAGAAACTCAAACACTGGTTTAAACAGCCCCTTTGTAAAGATATCAGCTGTCTGCTCTTTAGTAGATATGAATGGTGTGCATACAATTCCAGCTTCAATCTTCTCTTTGATAAAATGCCTGTCCACCTCAATGTGTTTAGTACGATCATGTAGCACAGGATTGTGAGCAATATTAATGGCTGCTTTATTGTCACAATATAATTTCATAGGTAGATCCATTTCCATATTCAACTCTGTCATCATTCTTTTGATCCAAAGTAGCTCACAGATTCCATTAGCCATAGATCTAAATTCAGATTCTGCACTACTTCTGGCAACAACATTCTGCTTCTTACTCCTCCAAGTCACTAGATTCCCCCATACATAAGTACAATATCCAGATGTAGACCTTCTATCAGTTATTGACCCAGCATAATATGCATCTGTAAAGGCTTCTACACTTCTATTGTCACTTCTTTTAAAAAATAATCCTTTCCCTGGACAACTTTTCAAATATCTTAGGATCCTGTAGGTAGCATCTAGATGTTCTTGGAATGGATTATGCATGAACTGACTAACCATACTGACTGCAAAGGCAATATCTGGCCTTGTATGTGCCAGATAAATCAACCTTCCCACCAATCTTTGATATTGGTGAATATTAACTGGTACTCCTTCCTTGACATTTCCTAACTTCTGATTAGGGTCAATTGGAGTATCTATTGGTCTGCATGCACTCATACCTGTTTCATGAAGTAGGTCTAGTACATACTTCCTTTGGGATACCACAATTCCCTTCTTTGATCTTGCTATCTCCATGCCAAGAAAATACTTCAATTCTCCCAGGTCTTTGATTTCAAATTCCTGAGTAAGCTTCTTCTTCAGGTCTTCAATCTCTTCACAATAGTTTCCTGTAAGAATTATATCATCCACATAAACAATTAGTACTGCAATTTCTCCCTTAATGGAGAATTTCATGAATAGTGTATGATCTGCTTGGGCTTGTTTGAATCCCTGCTTCTTTATGAACTGAGTAAACCTTTCAAACCAAGCCCTTGGGGACTGTTTAAGCCCATATAAGGCTTTCTCTAGCTTGCACACCTTTGAGCCATATTGTTCCTCAAACCCAGGAGGAGGGCTCATGTATACTTCCTCTTCAAGCTTCCCATTTAGGAAAGCATTCTTCACATCTAACTGTTGAAGATGCCAATCTAGGTTAGAAGCTAGAGATAGTAGAATCCTTATAGTATTTAATTTTGCAACTGGTGCAAAAGTTTCTGTATAATCTATGCCATAGGTTTGTGTGTATCCTTTGGCAACCAGTCTGGCCTTATATCTTTCAAGTGTACCATCTGCCTTGAATTTAGGAGTAAACACCCATTTGCATCCAACCCTTGGTTTATTTTTGGGTACCTCTACAGTCTGCCATGTCTGATTCTTTTCAAGGGCATTCATTTCTTCTAAAACAGCCTTCTTCCACTCAGGTATAGATAGGGCTTCCTGTATGGTTAAGGGAATAGAGACACTGGAAAGGCTAGAGGTAAAAGCTGCAAATGATGTAGATAACTGAGAATAGGACAGATAGTTTGAGATAGGGTATTTAACACATGACCTTTTTTCTTTTCTGAGAGCAATGGGTAGATTTAGATCACTGAAATTATTACCTTTGTCATTTTCTGGCATTGAGTCAGATGTATTGACAGTGGCAGGATCAGGGATGTCCTCTATTCTGTGATTTGGAACTCTCCTTTCATAAACCTTGCCAAAAAACTTACTTGTCTGCTGTTCATCATCTTTCCTTGTTTCAGTCAAAAAATTTTCATTTTCTTTTGACTCTTGACTATTTTCTAGTGCATCTAACTGTCTATTATACTGTGCATCTAGATTAATGTCAAGAGGTTCTAGTTTTTCAAGGATATGTGATACATTATTACCATCTTCATTAGGAATCTCCCCCTGAAGATGAGTACCAAAAAAAGATTGATCTTCTACAAAAACAGTGTTCATAGTTATAAACATCTTTTTTGTTATAGGGTCAAAACATTTATAGCCTTTCTGAGTTGAAGAGAGTCCTAAGAAAACACATTTTTTTCCTTTAGGGTCAAATTTACTTGCAGTTCTGTCAGGATTGGTAATAAAAACTGTGCACCCAAAAATTTTTATGGGAAGAGAATTAATTAGTCTAGTTTCAGGAAAACAAGCTTGAAGAGTATCAATAGGAGTTTTGAATCCTAGAGTTTTTGATGGCATCCTATTAATTAGATAGGTAGCATGTAAAATAGCTTCTCCCCATAAATATTTTGGAATTTTGGCAGAAAACATTATTGCACGAGTAACTTCAAGTAAATGTCTATTTTTCCTCTCAGCTATTCCATTCTGAGCAGGAGTATTTACACATGAACTTTGATGAACAATCCCTTTTTCAGCAAAAAAAGTATTTAACTTCTTAGAAAAATACTCAAGTCCATTATCACTTCTCACAATTTTGATATTAGTGTTGAATTGAGTTTGGATCATTGAGTAAAATTGTTTGAACACCCTTTCAATCTCAGATTTTTCTTTAAGTAAAAACACCCATGTGACCCTTGTATGATCATCTATGATAGTTACAAACCACCTTTTTCCTTTCAGAGTTGAAACTCTAGATGCACCCCAGATATCACTGTGTACAATAGTGAAAGGACTAGTTGGTTTGTAACTATGAGGGATGTAAGAACTCCTATGATGTTTGGCAAGTGCACACATATCACAATGAAATGATGAAGGATTTTTATTAAGAAATAACTTAGGAAACAACATTTTCAAATAGGAAAAACTTGGGTGACCTAATCTATAGTGCATTAGGTACACTTCATTATTACAAGGAAAAACAGTTTGCAAACAAGTTGTTTCTTGACCTTGTTTATTCAATTGTGTTCCTTCATCAAAAGTATAGAGGCCATCTTCCTCTCTAGCACTGCCAATCATCTTCCCTGATGCCAGATCCTGAAAAATGCAATAAGAGGGAAAAAATTTTACACAACACTGAAGGTCTTTAGTAATTTTACTAATAGAGATAAGATTGCAGGAAAGTTTAGGAACATGTAAGACTTTGGAAAGGTTAATGGATGAGGAAATTTTAATATTTCCCATCCCTGCTATGGCTGAGAAAGAGCCATCTGCAACTCTAACTTTTTTATCTCCTGCACAAGGTTGATAAGAAGAAAAAAACTTTGGAATATAGGTCATGTGATCTGTTGCACCTGAGTCAATGACCCAGGTGTTTTTAGTTTTTTCAGAACAAAAATATGATGTTATTTTACCATTCTGGGCAAAAGAACAGGTAGGGTTTTCAGGATTGGAGATTTTCTGGGTAGGTATGAATCTGAGTAGGTACTCTATCTGTTCCTGAGTGAATGGTAGCTGTTTAGGTTCAACTCCTGCCTCTTGTTGAGTTTCAGTCACAGTAGTTTGTAGGGCCCTTTCTACTTTCTTCTTCCCAGCTCCTGGTGGTTTTCCATGGAGTTTCCAGCATGTATCCCTTGTGTGCCACAGTTTATTGCAGTGATCACACCAAGGTTTTTTCTTGTTGTCATCACTTCTGGCCACCAAAGCTGAAGATTCCCCAGGTTCTTCATTAGGTGCTGGGGTTTTGTACATGACCTTCTTCCTGCTGTCCTCCATCCTGATTTCAGAAAATACCTCCCTGATAGAAGGTAGAGGTTTTTTTCCAAGTATCCTCCCCTTAACTTCATCTAGATCCCTATTGATCCCTGCTAGAAACATATAGACCCTATCATTCTCTTCTTTTTTCTTATGTCTGGCCAGATCCTTAGCACTCTCCCACTCTTCATCATCATAGCATTGATCTAATTCTTGCCACAGAGATACCATTTCATTGTAGTATGAAATAATATCCCTATTTCCTTGTTTAGATTGCCACAATTTGGTTTTGAGTTCAAAAATTTGATAAGAGTTCTCAAGGTCTGAATAAGTTTCCTTAATAGAATCCCATACCTCCTTTGCAGTTTTCATAAACATATGAGGTTTGGCAATTAGGGGCTCCATGGAGTTGAGAAGCCAAGCTGTTATGAGTGAATTCTCTGACCTCCATGTTCTGTACCCTTCTTCTGCAGGTATTTTTGGTTGGATTTCTCCTGTGATGTAACCCAGCTTTCCCCTCCCATCAATTGCAAGTCTGACAGATTGAGACCACTCCAGATAGTTTGTTCCATTCAATCTATGACTAGTGATTATCATAGATGAATGAATAGGAGACTGGTAATTTGTCATAGAGCTAATTTGGGAGTTAGGGTTAGTAGTGTGTGAGGAATCAGCTTCACTGGTTTCTACCATTGTTTAAACCGAGGCTCTGATACCATGTAGGTTTGAAGAATTAATCTTACTTGTATTATTGAGCCATCCGGCAATGATATAAATACAAAATTACAGATAAGCTAAGGTTGTTACAGATCCTAATATTTAGGATCTATCTATTCTTATCTACACTGCGTGTTAATCTAAGAGTTAGAGTTCAAAATCAACCCTACTTCCTATCTATACAGTTTCGGATGTACACATAATAAAATAACATTAATATGCTACATTTTTCTACAGAACACATATTGTGTGGCTTATAAGCTCCTGGAACAAGGAATACGTTTACTCCAAGAGTAAACAAGAATTTCTCTTCAACTTTACCCCGTATAATAGGAATAAAACAATGTAAAAATAAATGTGTCTCATAATAGGCATGGCAGCTGCACGAAGGGGGCAATCTGTTAGAGCTTGTGGATCCCGAGCTGGATCGGTTCCCAGAGGAGGAAGTCATGAAGTATATGAAGGTTGCGCTTTTCTGTACCCAAGCAAATGCAAGACGTAGACCAATGATGAGTCAGGTCATCGACATGCTATCCCGAAACATCAAACTAAATGAGGAAGAACTGACTCCACCCGGTTTATTTCAGGATCCTGTTAGGCTGAATGTTCCCCAAAAACAGAATGTATCTGACATCTCTACTAGTCAGCCTATGAGCTCTGCCCCCTTCACTATCACTCAGGTGAGTGCTAGATAAAAATAATTACTGCACACAGGAATCATAAAGTGAAAAAACCATCTGGAACATGTATAGACAGCGGGCTTCAATTTGCACAAAGAAAAGGAGTCTGCAGTAGGGTGTTGTTATACAGAGAGTGCCATGTTAGGCTGATCATGTTATTATTATCATTGTTATTATTATTGGGTGATGTTCTATTCTTTATCTCCTTTTGTCTTTCTTTTAATTATGGCTTTCTGTATATGACATTGAGTGAATATACATTATATTTACTTCATTTCTTCACTTTGCTTTATCCACATCATCATCATTATCTTAAATTCTCAAGTCTAAAGTTGGTTAATAATTTCATTCAACAAAGCGGTATCACAACTAATATTGTAGTTAGAAAGAGGGAAAGTTGTGATAGAGCTAGACGCAAGTCCTAGGGTTTGGAGCATAGTTTTTTGGCGCCTTTGGTCGATAGAAGCTAAGAACAGTTTTTCTGGCTCAGCAGCTCCAATCGAAGGGAAACAACAAGTACAGCAATAGGGATCTCGTTGGTAGGAGTAACCAACATGATAGGGTGCACATTTCATCTACGGAGTCACAAGTAGTCCGCCCTCCTCGAGAACTACCGCCATGAGGAGATGAGAAGCTTGGGGTATTTTCATCAAAAGAACAAGTACAAGATTGGAGTAGGCGATTGGAGTAGGCGTTGTCAGTTACTCTCTAGGTATTTTATTGTTTGCTATAGAAAGGTTGGGGTATTTTCATCAAAAGAACAAGTACAAGATTGAAGTAGGTGTTGTCAGTTACTCTCTAGGTATTTTATTGTTTGCAACAGAAAGGTTTGACTCAATATTAAAGAAGTAAATAGTAGGAGTAATGAATAATGTAGAAAAAGTAGAACATGTGGTGGAATTGCACCTAACCAGCGCCGGTCACTTATATAAATCCCCGTGAAGGGGTCACTTATATAAATCCCCGTGAAGGAGTCATGTCCAAATTCATAACGGAACCTCCCTGAAATCCATGGAAAAACCGTCGTCAGAATTGCACCTAACCGGCACCGGTTACTTCCCAACTGGCGCTGGTTACCCCAAATCTGTAGAAAAACCAGACGACGTGCATGAATATCTTGAGTTGAAATGAAGATATTTGGAAGGTACGGCTCGAAAATTTCGCCCCAAGTTGATTGAGCATAGGGATGGACCCGGGCTGGTCCGGTTCCGGACTGGACCCGGGCAGGCTTTTTTTGCAAATCCTTGGGCCCGGAACCGGCCTGGGTTGATACCGGGTCCGGGCCTAACCGGGCCCGGTTCAATGTCTATTTTTTTTTGCTTTCTTGTTATCCCCCGACCCCCCCCCCCCTCACCCCCACCCCCAAACCTCCCCAAAACACCCAGCCCTACCCTAGGAATAGAAAAAAATTGAAAAAAAAAATTGACCCAGGCCCGGCCCGAACCGCCCGGCCCGGTTCGCCCAAAACTAGGCTCGAGCCCGACCCGCCCAAATGGGCTAAAAGCCCGGAACCGGCCAACCGGTCCCGGTCCGATCCGGGCTCGCACAGTAGCGGGCTGGGCCGGTTCCGGGCCGGGCCGACCTGGTTTAGTCCATCCCTAATTGAGCATCATGAATAGATCATAGAAGATCATTTTCAAGCATATACAAATCCTCCGATCCATCCCAAATTCATCATCCAATCTCATTTTAATCGATTAGTTCATAAGTAGTTTTTTATAGTTTTTTGCTTTCTTCTTCATGGTGTTTTTGAGATGTGGAAGCTCATTTCTTCCAATCATTGATGTTTAGGTAATACTTCGTATTTCTTTAGTATTTATAGGTGTTTCTGCATTCAAAGTATTGTAATTTTGACTAATATGAACGTTAGAGGCTAAGTCTTTAAGTCAAGTTTTATGCTTTATTCTTATGTTTAAATTTCCTTATATGTTATGCAACATAATAGTATAATATATGTATTGCTATGAAGTAACTAACGTTGAAATTTCAGTTGGACACGAGAAGAAGTAATTCACGTTTTACTCTCTTTAAACGAAATCTATATATTACGTTGCATAACATCTAAATGTTTCTATGGTCAAAATGTTGCAATATAAATCGTTCTCTAGAAGAATCTTTATATAATATGGAGTATAAAGTAGCAGAGTGCGACAGTTTTTGGCTCCAAAATTCCCGCCTAAAATGAAAATAAGATTATAATTAATTATGATGATATCTCTAATTTGGTAAAAAATTTCTCTACCATATATATACTCTGTATACTAATAACACTTGTCAACAAATCTGAATCACACGTGTGTTACTTATATAATAATGGCTGAAGGGTCAAATAGGTACATGAACTAACTTAAAGTGTTCAATTAGCCCCTTATTTAGGAGGTTCTGTCCGGCCGTAACCAATTGGGGAAGTTACCGATAGATTTTTTTGATGAATTTTTTTGAGTATCTTCTTCATTAAGTCTAGTTTACCCATATCAAATTTCAGCTAAAAATTAAATAGGGAAGGAAGTCAAATGATTTTCCGAAATGTACTGCGCTGTTTAACTGCGCAGTTATCTTCAAAAAATCATTTGACTATCTTCCCAATTGAATTTTGAGCTGAAATTTGGTATGGATAAACTAGACTTAATGAAAAAGATGCTCAAAAAATTTCATTAAAAAATTCCACGAGGGACCACCCCAATTGGCGATGGCCGAGCAGAACCTCCTATATAAGGGACTAATTGAATACTTTAAGTTAGTTCATGTACCTATTTGACCCTTTAGCCTATAATAATACTCGGCAACAAATCTGTCATCATAATTAATTACCGTAATTTCCAAGTTAAATCTTATAACGTAAATCATATTTCTCGCGTAATATGTTACAAATTATAATCTACACAAAGATAGATTAAAATGAAGTAACGAAAGTTCAAGTTAACTATTAATTTGTAACACATTAAATTTATTAAAATAAAATTTATCATCATAATTTATAAATGAAAATGTTACCTGAAATTTTAGTAACTGTTATATCACTTTTATAACTTACTAAAGAAAACGAGAGCTTAATTAAATATAAATAATGTATTCAGATGACCTAAACTTTATATTTTCCCTAAATGGTTGTATTGTACGTTAAATTTAATTTGGTACATATGATACGCATTTATTAATGATTGATAGAGCTGATATATGTTTTAACTTGGATCAGATATTAAGAATATTAATAATCAAATAAGAATTATAATACTTTTTCCGTAACAACATACACAATTCAACGAGGAATGTTGATCATATCAATAGCAATCCATATGACTCACAAAACTTTGTCAATTGTGCTTAGGTTGTTTTTATTTGGACTGTAATTTGTCCCAGATCAGACCAGATCAGACCAGACAACAATAGAACAGACCAGATCAGACCGGATCATATTTTATTATTATTATTATTATTATTATTATTATTATCATTATCATTATCATTGTCATTGTCATTGTCATTGTCATTGTCATTGTCATTGTCATTGTCATTGTCATTGTCATTGTCATTGTCATTGTCATTGTCATTGTCATTGTCATTGCGGTTGCGGTTGCGGTTGCGGTTGCGGTTGCGGTTGCGGTTGCGGTTGCGGTTGCGGTTGCGGTTGCGGTTGCGGTTGTGGTTCTGGTTGTTGCTGTTGCTGTTGCTGTTGCTGTTGCTGTTGCTGTTGCTGTTGCTGTTACTGTTACTGTTACTATTACTATTACTATTAGTACTATTATTATTACTATTATTATTATTAATATTAATATTAATATTAATATTATTATTATTATTACTATTATTGTTATTATTATTAGTAGTGTTATTACTATTATTACTATTATTATTACTATTATTACTATTATTATTACTATTATTATTACTATTATTATTGCTACTATTATTGCTATTATTATTATTATTATTATTATTATAATTACTATTATTACTATTATTACTATTATTATTATGATTATTATTATTATTATTATTACTATTATTATTACTATTATTATTACTATTATTATTACTATTATTATTACTATTATTATTACTATTATTATTATTATTATTAGTATTATTATTATTAATATTATTATTATTATATAATATATATAAAAATAAAATCTTTATGCAAAAAATATAAAAAATAAAATTTCAGACCAGACCAGATCAGACCAGACCAGACCAAAACAGACCAGATCAGACAAGGCCAGACTAAAACAGACCAGACCAGAGCATACCAGACCAACAAATTGCAATCCAAGTAAAAACATCCTTATTTGTCAAAAAAATATTGTCATTTCCTTTTAAAATAATACATTATAAATATAATACTCCATCCATCCTTTAATGTTTATATCCTTACCTTTCTAATTTTCTGAAAAACTGTCACTTTTCTATTTAAGTTTTAATTAATAAATTTGTGGTTTACATTTTTCTTTCTTTTTTTGCATAAACTTTAGCCGCACAATTTTTACTTTATTATAAAATATGCCGGTCAAATTTGACAAAATTTGAAGAAACGAATAAAGTATAATGCAGCAAAGTTGTTACATGTTTTGACATCAAAAGTAATTCCTACTAAAAATACTCCCCCCGTCTCACTTTAATCTTCCAATTTTCTTTTTCGCGTAAATTAAGAAAATGAGAATTGTGTGGTGGAAAATTGTAAATAACAAAAACAAAAGTGTAAGACATGCTATCAACCAGAAATTCTATGCAAAAAAAGGAAAGAGAAAATTATTTTGGATTAAACAAAAATTAAAAGAAAAGTTGAAAGACAATTGTTGGGACAGAAGAAGCATATAACATTGCCTAATTGTTCTCCACCAAAGTGAACATTTAATTTCAAATTTCAACGAAGGCAATACTCAATCATCATTTCATCTGGCATGAACTAAACAAAAGTTAAGGACAATTTTTTGGGTCAAGTTGGCACATACGGAATCTCATAAACTAATGCACCAAAGTCTATTTTTACCCATGGTTAGTTTTATGTTTCCAAGCATGTTAGAATTATCCCAAGACATATTTGGAAATCCATATATGTGATGAGGAGAGACGTGTTATGATCACCTCTAGTAATGTGGTCTACAATGAAGTTTTCAAAACTTATGATAATTTTTATAAGCTGCTAATTAAAAATGATTGTGTTGTTTTGCTTAATTTCGTGAGGACTAACAAAGGAAACACTTCAAATTGTAATATCATGTATTTTTCATTGCCACATACAATTTATTATTACATCGTATTGTGTATATTTTTTATGTACATGAAATTATTCAT